CTCGCAGGCGACCACAAGGTAAGCGACCCCCAGGTAAGCTGAATGTTGCTTTGTTGTCTTTGCCCGCTCACCATCTTCATTTCAGTAATGAGCTAGCTCAACGGCTAGACAACCTTCCTATCTCTGCCGCCGCAGACGCCGCCACCGCTGCCGAGAACGCCTCCGTGGAAAACCGCTGGTGCCAACTGCGAGACACGGTCCAGTCGACGGCACTCGCCGTCCTTGGTCTCGCTCCCCGCCAACACCAGGACTGGTTCGACAACAACGACGCCGCCATCAGAAATCTGATTGCTGAGAAGAACCGCCTACACAAAGCCTACGTAGATCACCCCACTGAGGACAACAAAGCTGCCTTCTATCGCAGTCGCCGCCAGCTTCTGCAACGACTGCGCGAGATGCAGGACGCCTGGACTGCTCGCAGAGCTGAGGAGATTCAAGGCTACGCGGACCGCAACGAATGGAAGAACTTCTTCTCTGCGATCAAAGCTGTCTACGGTCCGCCGACGAAGGGCACTGCTCCTCTCCTCAGCGCCGATGTCAGCACTTTCCTGACTGAGAAGACGAAAATCCTACAGCGATGGGCCGAGCATTTCCGAGGCGTTCTCAACCGCCCCTCCGTCATCTCCGACGCCGCCATCGAGCGTTTGCCGCAAGTGGAGTCTAACGTGGACCTCGACCTACCGCCATCTCTCCAGGAGACCATCAGGGCCGTGCAGCAGCTCTCCAGCGGGAAAGCACCCAGATCGGACGCAATCCCTACTGAGGTCTACAAGCACGGAGGTCCCCTACTGATGGATCACCTGACTGCGCTCTTCCAGAAGATGTGGCGTCAAGGTGAAGTCCCGCAAGATTTCAAAGACGCAACCATCGTGCATCTCTACAAGCGCAAAGGGAATCGCCAAGTCTGCGACAATCACCGCGGCATCTCCCTACTGAACATCGCCGGGAAGATCTTCGCTCGCCTCCTGCTCAACCGCCTCAATAACCATCTGGAACAGGGCCTTCTGCCGGAAAGCCAATGCGGCTTCCGTCGTCATCGTGGGACCACGGATATGATCTTCGCCACCCGCCAACTTCAGGAGAAGTGTCAGGAGATGCGGACCCACCTGTACTCTACCTTCGTGGACCTGACGAAAGCCTTCGACACGGTGAATCGTGAAGGACTGTGGAAGATCATGCAGAAATTCGGCTGTCCGGAGCGATTCACTCAGATGGTGCGTCAGCTGCACGACGGTATGATGGCGCGAGTCACGGACAACGGAGCTGTCTCAAAGGCATTCACAGTGACCAATGGAGTGAAGCGGGGCTGCGTACTGGCGCCTACCCTCTTCAGTCTTATGTTCTCTGCCATGCTGATGGACGCCTACCGCGACGAACGCCCCGCGATCCGCATCGCCTACAGGAAGGACGGTCACCTGCTGAATCAACTGCGGATGCACTTTTAATCGCGCGTATCCCCAACCACAGTTCACGTACTCCTCATCGCCGACGACTGCGCCCTGAGCACCAACTCGGAAGAGGAGATGCAACGGAGCATGGACCTGTTCTCCGCGGCCTGCGAGAACTTCGGTCTGGTCATCAACACGCAGAAGACGGTGATGATGCATCAAACGCCACCCAACTCAGCCACAGCCCCCAACGCGCCGCCGCTAATCAGCGTGAACGGAACCCAACTGCAAGGTGTGAAGAACTTCCCGTACCTGGGCAGTACCCTCTCCCGCAATACCAAGATCAATGACGAAGTGGCCAACAGGATTCCTAAAGCCAGTCAAGCCTTCTGTCGCCTCCAAAGCACAGTTTGGAATCGTCATGGTCTTCAACTGAGCACGAAGCTAAAGATGTACAAGGCCGTCATCCTGCCGACGCTACTGTACGGATCGGAGACTTGTACGGTGTACACAAAGCCGGCACGCCGTCTGAACCACTTCCACCTCAGTTGTCTCCGTCGCATCCTGAGGCTGAAGTGGCAGGATCGAATCCCCGACACGGAAGTACTGGAACGAACGGAAATCCTCAGCATCTACGCCATACTGAGACAAATGCAGCTGCGCTGGAGCGGTCACCTGGTGCGCATGGATGACGAGCGACTACCCAAACGACTCTTCTACGGAGACGTCGGGACGGGTTCTCGCCGTCAAGGAGGCCAGATTCGCCGTTACAAGGATACCCTGAAGTCCTCCCTGAAGCGCCTGCAAATCAACCCGCCCAACTGGGAAGAGCTCGCTCGCGATCGCCCGACATGGAGGAGATCAGTGAAGACGGGCGCTGCCACCTACGAAGCCAAACGCACCGCCTCCGCCAAAGCGAAACGCGAGGCACGCAAATCACAAATTCGCCCAGTCCGCAACGCCAACGCACAACCGCTGCCTACATGTTCTCGGTGTCAACGGACATTCCGGGAACGAATCGGACTTGTTGGACATCTTCGGATCAACTGCACCTCTCGAACTGCTCCAGCCATCGTCCCCCCGCCCGCCTCTTCCTCGCCCTCTCTTCCACCAACTAACTCTGACACTCCTTCTGCACCACCACTTCCATCCTCCTCCTTCTCATCCACTGTCCCAGCGGCGGCCGTTCAGGCTGCCGTCTCACACATCACCAACCCCGACACAACAACCGCCACCACCCCCACCTCTCCCGATTCCTGTGATGAGGATCAGGACTACACCTGCCCTCACTGCGACCGCACCTTCACTTCTCGCATCGGCCTGGTCGGTCACGTGCGAATCCATCGCGCAGAGACCGGCGAACCAGTGCCTGGAGCACCAACCTACACCCACCGCACTCGCCTCCACTGTCCACACTGCCCTCGCACCTTCACTCATCGCGTGGGTCTATTCGGCCACATGCGCATCCACCAGAGCGGAATTGACCGCAGCCTTGACACACCCACCCCACCGGGCCCCACTCCCAATCCACCACCTTGTGCACCCACTAACCACTCCCCAGCCGACATCGACGCCACCGACCTTACCACCCCTCACTCCTCCCCTTCCTCCTCCTCTTCCTCCTTCACTGCCACAACGACGGCCGCTTCGGCGTCTGTCGCCCACGACTTCACCACAGCCGAACCTGACACAACAACAGGCACAAGCCCTGCAACCTCCATCATCAGACGTGAGGGCCAGGACTACATCTGCCCTCACTGCGATCGCACCTTCACTTCACGCATCGGCCTGGTCGGTCACTTGCGAATCCATCGCACAGAGACTGGCGAACCAGTGCCTGGGGCACCAACCTACACTCACCGCACTCGCCTCCACTGCCCACATTGCCCTCGCACCTTCACGCATCGCATGGGCCTTTTCGGCCACATGCGCATCCACGAGAGCGGAATTGACCACAATTCCGACACACCAATCGCATCCAACACATTCCTCATGCCCAGCCTCACCCTCGCTCCATCGCTCTGCTCGATCACCAGCACCAGCACCACCACCGCTTCCTCCGCAGCCGACACCGCCGACTTCTCGTGCCCACACTGCCCACGCACATTCACCTCACGCATTGGCCTGATCGGTCACTTGCGAATCCATCGCACAGAGACTGGCGAATCAGTGCCTGGAGCACCAGCCTTTACCCACCAAGCTCGTCTCCACTGCCCACACTGTCCTCGCACCTTCACGCATCGTATGGGCCTATTCGGCCACATGCGCATCCACGACGACCTGCGGTAGACAACTGCCGGCCACACCACACATCCATTCACCGCCTTCCATCCTCCACCATCAACACCACGCATCAACACTCATCCACCGCATGCACCAAATACCACCTTCCACGTAAGCTCGAAGTGTGCATCTCGACTCGGTCCCCATGCGGCTTCGGCTGCACGGGTGACATGAGTCCGAGGCTATCCCGACACGTCGTGTCGTGGATAGGAAGGTTGCTGATTGACGCCCGTTCTCGGTTCATGCAGTTCGTCACGTTGTGTGTGTGTGTGTTGTGTGTAGTGGCGGACTGGTGGGCTGGGGATGGGCTGAAGCAGCACGTTCCACGGCCCTCTCACGCAAGTAGGAGACACGCCGTTCTACCCCCGTTGTGTGAAATCCTGGTGTTTGTGTGTGTATGTGGGGCCAGGTCGTGCTGGGGCGCGCGCAGGCATGGT